AGGAATATTCATCAGGTTTTTCTAGGAATCCAGGCAGTCTGCTGTCTTTCCTTACATGGTTCTTCCTGGTTGCTGCTCTGGTGACTGTAAACTGACATGGTGCCGGTACGTATGTCTTCAGCATGGAAATTAGATGATAGAGAAGTCTGAAGTCTATCAGAGGTTGTCTGGGAAGCCATCTTGGACCCTGCTGCTTCTAGCTGATTATCGTGGAGAACGTCCATGTGTCCTGTTCTTACAGATAAATATGTTTGGAGAGGTAGGCAAAGTGGGTGGGCAAGGCAGGCTATGCTGATATGGTACTGAGCCATAGTTGTGCTCTGTTGGTTAGAAGCAAGTCACTTGGGCCAGCCCACCCTCAAGGGTCAGGGTCCCCCAAGGGTGTGAACATGGGTAATAGGAGGGCCACTGGAGGCCGTTTAGATATCACATGACCTTCCTGAGGACATGTTTCAGCTGTCTTTAGGTGCCAGGATCTTTGTCACCACCCCAGGGGAGCCAGGATAGGAGTGGGGTAGGCAGTCAGCCTGGAACCTCCCACTGGCTTCAGCTTTCTAGAGCAGTCAGAGCTGTGTCCTGCCCAGCTCAGGAAGATGTGCCTGGCACAACACTTGCTATCAGAACTCTAGAAGCTCTAGCTTTCAGAACCCAGCCCTGGGAGCCCAGGGGAGGCAGTCAGCTGGAGAACTGGCTCATTCGTTATCTTTTCAGGGCTGTGGGTCATGTTTAAACTGTATAGGGAGCAAGGCTGACTCAAACAATTATTTCTCTTCCAGATTTTCTTGTCTCACTGTGAAAAGCCAGAGCACCTGCTGCGTGGCTGGCTCCCCAGGGGGCTCTCCAAGGGCACCTCTTGTTTTTCTATGCTCAGGTGGACACTCATGTGTCCCATGACTCCAGGCTACTGGAAAAATAAATCTCAGTCCCTCCTGTCTTTGCTATTGGGGTTGTGTCGTCCTGGGCAACTTCCTCCATACAGAAAAACTAGAATGTTCAGTCTTGGTGCCACAGTCCCTGCCCAAACCACATGGTATTATGAGGGCAGAGACAGAAGGGTCCTCCCCAGGCCAGGGGCCTGACTTCCTTGGGGGCAGCTCAGCCTTTCCTCTGAGGGTCCAGAAGGTGACATGTGAGTGAGGAGCAGCCTGTTCTACATCAGGAGTCTCCTCTCTTCCAGGACACCACTTCTACACTTTCCTGATTCTAGAAAGTTCTCCTTTTCAGACAGCTCGACTTCCCCATTCTCCAATCCTCCAAGTCCCATCGTTCTTCTTAGCAAGATATTTTCTCAAAACTGAAAGTCTTTCTCATCCTTGCCACTGGAGGTGGCAGGTAGGTAGCTGCTGAGTCTAGGGTGGGCCAACAACTCTGCTCCCAAGATGGGACTGGGATTGGGGGGAGGTGAAGGGGCCAGTTCCAGCTCTTCTTTCTTATATTCCCTGCAGAGAAGCAATGACTGAGTTTAGATCTCAAGGTTTTTGCTAGGAGGTGGAGAAAGATAGCACTGGTGTTCAGCAGTGGAAACTCAAGGCTCACACAGGGCCTGCACTCTGCTTGAGGGGGGAAAGGCTTTGTTGAGTGCAGGAAATTGCACAGGGGAAAGGCCACCAGGAGAGGGGTCCTGTACCACTGTGGCTCCTGCCAGCCCAAGCAGGGCCTGCCTGTACCCATTGGCACAGCCTTGCTTCATTGATCTAGGGAGATGGTAACCACCCCCGTTCAAGCACCAGATACGGACCTCTTTGGGACTCCTTCCTGCCACATGCAGATCTACACAGCTAGCAGAAGCTGGTGTGTCTCAGGCCTCAATATTACCTTGTCTCCTTTAGGCTTTGTCATAGCAGGATGAACAAGACTCAGGCCCCAAGTAACCAATGCAAAGCCCACATTTATTGGGCATTTACTAGATATCAAGCTCCTCCCATGACCATGTCACTTTAAGTCTCTGTGTTTGGAATGACGCCCTACCTCACAGATGAAGAAACTGAGGCTCAGAGAGGTATGGCCTGTTCAACAGCAATGCCATGGGAAGTGTGGCACATATGTGCTCAAAGCCAGTGCCACACTCATAATTATCATACCCTGCGTCCCCCACCCCCATTACAGCATCCATACATCCACAGCACAGGAGGGTGAGAATTATTCAGAGGGCCTCAGGACCAGCTGGGCAGTCCAGGAAGTCTCCACATGATCTGATAAGCAGAGCCTATGAGAAGGGCATTCCAGGAGAGGCAGAGGTTCTTCGAGGTGGGGGAGCATGGAGAAGTTTCTGAATCCTTGAAGCCATCTTCTTAAGCTCATGCACTGGGAAAGGTGGCAAGTCAGGAAGAGAGAAGGGGAAATGTGGGTGGGGTTGCATTGTGGAGATGAGGTCAGCCTGGGAGAACTCTCTGCATCGAATCTGAGAAGGGCAGATCTTGAGTCACAGTCATGTGGGCAGCAGAACCCAGTCCCAAAGGCCACACCTAGGTGCCTGGTTCCTTTGCTGGAGGCCTCACTCTTCCCTCAACCTGGGAAGCTACAGTTGCCATCCCCGACCTCCCCATCCAGAAACCTGGACACCATGTAGAAGGTGCAGGAAGAGAGGGCAATTCATTCCAGACAGAACGTGTGCACTGTTCACAAACTGAGTGGATGCTTTGTAAACTTTTTGCTCTACTAATCTCCCTTTACAGAGTTCAGGGAGAAGCCTGATTCATTACAGACAGAAGAGATTGCATTTTTTCCCTTCCTTTCAGTTAGGAAAGATTACATCACACATACTGCCATTCAGGTGTCTTTGTTTAAAGGCCTCACTACTAAATATATATTTTAAAAAACTTTTCTTAAACCACTCAGGTTGTCCAACCTTCTCACTGAATGAGGAAAAAGGACCTGGGAGTTGCCTGAGGACACACAGAAGTGAGTGGCAAGGCCTAGAGCCTGAGGCCCGGGATTCCTTTAGGACTCCAGCCTGGTGCTACTTCCAGTGCTGGCTTGCTTGGAGCTGCTGTGGCCTGGGAATGGGGAGGGTGGGCCATGGGCTCAGGGCTCAATTAAACAGCTCCTCTCAAGGGCTCTTAGGCACCTCAACTGGCCAAGTCTCTGCATCCACACCCTACCTGGGGCTACATCCTGGACCAAGTACTGGATGAGGAGTCCAAAATCCACCCAGTCCATGGGGTCCATTTCCATCTCAGCAGTCCTGGGCTGCTCTGGTCACTTCTCTGGCTTCACTGACTAAAAAGCAAACAGCAGCCTGTCATCCCAGCTGCTCAGGAGGCTGAGGCAGGAGTATGGCTTGAGTCCAGGATTTCAAGGCCAGACTTGGCTACTAGTGAGACTCTGTCTCAAAACAAAACAAAACAAAAGCAAAAAAAGGAAGAAAGCACAGACACAGAGTTTTCTGTCTTTAAAAAAGCAGATAGGAGTCCATTGACCATACAACCAGGTGTATGGCTTCTCAGCAGAGTGAATTCTAAACCAGTTTTGGAGTGAAGCTGCCTGGGACCAAATGAATTTATTTGTGTGTGGTGTAGACCTGAGCAAGAAGACACCTGCAGTGTCCTCATCTATAAAGCAGGGATAGTAACAGGGATAAACTGGGTGTAAGGAAATACATGCTGAGAATTCTGGAGTGTCTGATAGTAAGTGCTCATCATAACTGTATACCTGTCAACAGTTAGCTGCTATTGCAACTGCTCTCTGAACCCCTATTGACCCCGCACTCTCCAGTGTATGAGACATGCTTTGAAGATACAGATATTGGTCTGCCCAAGAGCCTAGCCTGGGGCCTGGGGGTGGGAGGATAGAGGAGGTGATGGTGGTGAAGGAAGTAAGGGAGGGTGTGGAGGAGAAATGCTTAATACAGGAACTTAGAAGTATTAATACAGATGCTTCTCAACTTATGATGGCATTACCTGGCAAACATATCACAAATTAAAACTATCAGAAGCGGAGCCTGTCTTATGCATGGAACACACTGAACACCCCAAACTACCAAATGCCTTAGCTAAGCTTAGCAACACACCAGACAGTAGAGTGTCAGTTGTTTCCCTCCTGATTCCAGGGCTGACTGGGAGCTGTGGGCTCCTCGCTGCTGCCCTTTGTTCAGACAGACAGAGACAGAAAGAGAAAGAAGAGAGAGAGAGGAGAGATGAGCAACGGGACAGAATATTACCAGCCCAGGAAAAGATCAAAATTCAAAGGGAAGGTTTCTACTGAATGCTATCACTTTCACACCGTGGTAAATGGAAACAAACACATAAGCAGCTGTGTGAGTGAAATGGGTGTGCGAGGTACAGAGTGGTATCAGAGCCCCACTCCTCCCCAGTAGCTCCTCCACGGTTGAAGGGCTGGTGATTGAATTTTTGAGTGATAAATATTCCTTGTTTGATGTCCAGTAATAATGAGCTTGTACACAAGATGAGTCACCTACCCTTAGTTCTCAGTCTGTAACTTCTATCGGCTGTGCAATTCCAAGCCACAGAGTAAACGATCCTGAAAACTCATTCACTCAACAAACATTAATTGGGTGCGTGGCAACCTACTGATTCACGAGTTGGAAGGGGTAAAATATTATTCAGTAGCTACACATGGGTTGGTGGGTAACTTAATTTTACTGGACACGTGTTTCCTAAGTGCCTGTCCTCTGATCTACAGCAAACTATACTTATGTGCCCTCGTTTACAAATTAACGAGGGCCAGCCAATCTTTCAGAAGACTTCAATTTGCAGTTTTAGTTAAAAGCCCTTCGGCCTTTACAAACGAAGACCTGTCTTTCTGGGTTGGGCTAACTCCTTTGCTTGTTAAATGCTTTCTGTGTCTTTAAGAGGGGGCGGTATCCTGTCAAATGGACCCTACAGCATAGGTTGAAGGCGCGTGAAGTCCCACCCACTTTCTGTGACGTCCTACGTCCCGGCTTCTGATTGCTCGCTTCCGACGTCAATCGCGGGGCGTGTGTCTTGCTGGGACACAGTGGAGGTCTAACCTTTGGTTTGCGGAGCGGTCGGGTGTTTTCTCCGCACGCCCCCACGCCCTCGAGGCCCCCGCCGCCCGACCCAACAGTGGAGCCGACCAGCGCCTCCCGTGGCATCATCCTGCACCGGATCGCTCCTCGCTGGGGCGGGACGTGGCCCGACGGCTCCGGTCACTATGGTCAGTGGTCTCAGGCGAAAACGCAAAGAGGGAACGGAAAAGGGGATGCGGGGGCGGGGTCGCCGCCAGGGCGCATGTGCGATCGCAGGGTCAGGCGAGAGGCTCAGCCCCCAGAGCGCACCCGCGGTGTTCCGACCCCCCGGGATCGCTGAGTCTGAGCGAGTGCTGGGGACCCTGGACGCGCCCCGCTGTCCTCAAGGGATGCCCAGCGGGGAGGTCCAGCTCGACGCGAGGCCCCCGCCCGCAGGGTCCGACCCAGTTGTTCCCGAGGGCACCGCCTTGAAGCCGCCGGGTAGGCTCCTGGCAGGGAGCGGGATGGGGAGCCTCCAGGACTAGGGTCTCCCCCTCTTTGTTAAGTAACCCTTCGTCTACAGCGCACGGCCCCACCCACCGTGGGCTTGGCCATCAAAGACCACCCTTTCCTGCTCCTCTGTCCCAGCCCCAGGAGTGGACCCAGGGCATGCGTGGGCGGCCAGGTCGCTCGTCCCTGTGGGCGACTGGACATTCACTCCATCTCCGGATGGATGTCAACAGGTCTTTGGAGTCTGGACCACGTGGAGAGGCAGCCTCCAGCTGTAAGGCGCTTGAGTTAGGGGTCCAGGGAAAGCAGACTAGAAGAACCTCGAACCCAGTCCTAGCTGAGCAGAAAGGGCCCCGGAGACCCTGTAAGCTCCACCAAACCTTGGACTTAGGCAGGTGGGAAAACTGAGCCCAGGCAAGAAAAGGGCCTATTGTGATGGTACTCGGACTGAGACGTGAACCCAGGCTTCTGTCCAGTGCTCTCAGTGTTACATCACCCCACCTTCCAGGTTTCCATGGGGTCAGTTGTCCTGCAGGGGCTCCAGGGAACTCGTAGACCAGGAAGGGCTGCTGGTTATAGCCCTGGGCTCAACAGTTTCGCCTCCTCTTGACTTGTTTGCACAACTGTGGGTTGTTGTGAGGACCCCATGAGGCAGTGTGTGTCATGGCCTTTACTGTGATGACCAAATCCTGAAAACAGGTGTACACAGGTGCCTGATTTTTCATGCTTGGCCTCCCAAGCCTGGGCAGGAAATGGGTTGCCACTGCCAGATGCTTCAGGGCCAGGGACCTGGTCACACCTGCTGAGCGTGGCTTGGGCAGCCTGGCTGTCCCAGATGAGCCAGCCTCCTGCTGGGGTGTAGCTGGGGGCCTCTGGAGCCGCGGAAGCACCAGTTTCCTGCTTCTATCTGGTGCCCAAGGGTTTACCTGCTCTGCTGCTCCTGGAAGGTGGCCCAGGTGTTTTTGCATCAGCTGCCAGGGAGTGGCCGGAGCTTGGGTAATGATGGGTTCAGTCACCCGGGAGTTAGAGGCTGGCATGCCCTCTGGCCACCACTGGGTAGCTGAGAGCACACCAGGGCAGTATGGACTGGGACCTCAACTTCTGTTCCTTGTTCTGTGTAGTGAGACCACCAGCGCCGCCCTTCCATCTGCCCTGAACTCACAAGACCAGCAGTTGGGCAGCTGGGCCCTAAGCACCTACTCACCTCACACACCTGGGGAGCTCACGGTAGGGGGTCTGAGAGAGGGGGTGTTAGTGATTCACCCACTAAATAGGATGTCTGCTGGAGTCATGGGGATAATGCTGGTGACTGTGTAGTTTGTTCTTTGCTTTTTGCAATCCTGGGGTTTGAACTAAGGGCCTTGCACTTGCTCAGCAGACGCTCTTCCACTTGAGCCATGCCTCTAGTCTGCTTTGTTTTTAGTGTGTTTCAGATAAGGTCTCCTGCTTTTGCCTCAGCTGGCCTTTGGCTGTGATCTTCTTGCCTTTGCCTCCCAGTAGCTGGGGTATCATAGACATGCACCACCATGCCCTGCCCAGGTTTGTTCTCTTCTGTTTACATGACATTTATTGAGCACGTACTGTATGCCAGGCACCATGCTAAGCCTGTATTATGTTGCTTAAGTCTGCGTGGTGTGGGTGATGGTGAGGTGTGAATATCTTGGGATTGACAGCTTTCTTGCTTCTAGTGTCAGAGTCACTGGGCTGAGCCTGAGGACAGGGTCCCAGGTAGAAGAGGAAACCTCCGGGAGGACAGGGGCTGCAAATAGCAAGAGTCTCAGGGTCACTCCGAGTGCATTTACTGTTTGGGAAAGAGTGAGAGTGTCAGACATGAGCAGTAAAGCCACAAGATCGTTTGCTTTATGCTGTCATTTGTCAAACAAGCCGCTAGTGGGCACCCTTGTCGGACCTGTGCTGGGCAGTGGTGAGAAAGACAAGGGGTCTGCCCTCTCCTGGTGCTCACTGCCTGTTGGCCAGCCAGGTCAGCTCAGCTCAGCTGTTGACAAGGCACAAGAGGCTGACCAGGGACTTTGGGAACACAGCAGATTGAGGGAGTGGGGAGTATTTGGAAAAGCTTCCCTGAGGAACTCTTTTAAGCTGGGTGTTGGAAGGTATATAGGAGTGTCCAGGAAGGATTTGGGGAAGAGGACATTCCATATGGGGACAGTGGCCTTACTTTGGCCTTAAAACATGTTTAAAAGTGGGGTGTCCTGGGAAGGATGAGCAACCTCTGTGAGCTTGGGGGAGGCTCGGAGGTGCATCTGGAAGAGGGGTGGGAGCTGAGTGTTCTGTGCAGGCCCCCCTAGACAGGCTGTGGAGTTGGGACTATCTGCAGTCAGGAGAACCATGTCATTTTGACCAGTAAGAGATGGTTAACCTGGACAGTCACTCTATCAGTGTGTGTGTGGGGGATCCTCTGGGTTGTAGGTGTCCAGGCTGAGTTGGAAGGGCCACTGATGCATTCACTCATTCAGTGTTAGCAGCTGGGGCTGCTGTAACGGAGCACGCCAGGTTGATGGTGTAGAACAACAGGAATTTGCTCTCTCACAGGTCTGGAGGCCAGGTGTCCGGGATCAAGGTGTGGGTAGGGCCACACTCCCTCTGAGACCACCAGGGAGTGGTCTGTCCCTGGCCTCCCTTGGGGCTTCTGGTTGGCCCTTGGCTTATGGCCTCAGAATGTCAGCGTGCATAGTGATCTTTCTGTGTCCCTTTGTTTATAAGGACACAGTCATAGGACTAGGGACCCACACCCTTCTCAAGTATGACCTCCTCTTAACTAATTACATCTCCAATGACCCTGTTCCTGAACAAGGCTCCCTTCTGGGTCCTGGGAGCTAGAGCTTCAACATGGGGGTTCTGGCAGGGCACAGTTCCATTCCTAGCACTACCTATGTGCCAGGCACTGTGGGGTCCAGCAGCAACCAGCAGGCAAAGGCCTTGACCTCCAGGAGTTTGACATTTTAGTGGATCCCTCCACTAAAATGAAGTAAACATGTGACCCACCCATCAGCTCAGATCATGACCTGAAGTAAAGCAAGGTCAGGTGGTAGCAGTGGGGGAGGACAGCCTTTGGCCAGTGGTCAGGGAAGGCCTTTCTGTGGGAGTGGCATCACCTGAGTCATATAGAAGCAAGGTGCATTCCAGGAAGAGGGAACAGCATGTGCAAGGGTCCTGAGGTAGAAATGTGTCCTGTTGTAGAAACGAAAAAAGGGTCACTGTGGCTGGAGCTCAGAGAGGGCAAAGGCCAAAGGGACTCAGGGCTGGGAGGTTCTGAAAAGGTTGAGTCTTTTCCTAGGTAGGGAAGCCAGTACAGGGTGCCTTACTTAGTTTTTTGCTTGTCTTTTTGGCTGTTGTTGTTTTGATTCTTTGAGACAGGGTCTTACTAGGCCCAGCTGGCCTAGAATGCTCAATCCTCCTGCCTCAGCTTCCTGAGTTCTGAGATTGCAGGTGTGCTCTACCACACCCAGTCTTTTAGTCAATTTTGTGCTCCTGTAACAGAATATCAAACTGGGTAATTTATAATGGACAGACATTTATTGGCTTCCAGTTCTGGAGGCTGAGAAGTCCAAGATCAAGGTGCTAGCATCTGGCGAGGGCCTTTGTGCTGTGTCACAATGTGCAGAAGGCATCCATGCAGAAGGGCAAGAGGGAGGGCTAGGGAAAACAGGAGGACGAACCCACTCACTCCTATGATGACCGCATGAGCCCTTTGGTGAGGGTGGGGCCCTGTGACCCAATCACCTCCCACAACTATTACAGAATTTCAACGTGGCTTGTTTTCAAACCACAGGGTTCTGCCCCTGGTCCCCCCAAACTCACATACAAAATACATTCTTGCCCTCTCAATAGCTCTGAAGTCTTAGCTCTTCTCACAGATGAGTATACGTGGTTAAAAGAAGCCACACCACAGCCTGGATGCTTTTCTGCTTGTAGAATTCTTCCATCAGGTGTCCTAGCCCATGGCTCTGCCTTCCAGTGAGCTCTCCCACAAGGACTTGAGGCAGCCAAGTTTTCTGGCACGTCATGAGGAGGTGGTCCATCCTTCAGTTTCTAATACCTGGTTCCCCATTTCCATCTGAGGCCTCATCAGCTGGGCCTTCACTGGCCACACTTCTACCAGCTGCTGCTCAGGACCACACAAATGCTTCCTGAGAAGGTTCAAACGTTCCCTTCAGCTGTCCTCTTCTGAGCTCGCTTCCAGAATCATCCTTCATTGTCCATTCACAGCGATGCTGGCTAACTCCAGCATTCACTTCAGAACTCTCCCAGCCCCTACCCATGACCCAATTCCAAAGCCACTTCCGTAGCTTCTGGTATTTGTTATAGTAACACCTGCTCCTGGTTCCAATTTTGTGTCTTAATCTGATTGAATAATTTATGAGTAACAGACATTTATTTGGCTTATGGTTCTAGAGGCCGAGAAGTCCAATGTCAGGGTGCCGGCTTCTGGCAGGGGTCTTGTTAGTGTGTCACACCTCATCGGAAGGCATCAGATGGCAGAAGGGCTAGAGAGAGCGGGGGGACCAACATACTCTGGTAATGGCATTAGTCCATTCATGAGGGCAGAGCCCTGCCTTTGGTTAAATATCAACACAAGTTTGGGAGGGGACAGACATTCAGATCATAGCAGAAGGAATTGAGGAAGGGGGAGGGTTCTCATCTGGGAGGCGGCCTGCACCGGCTGCCTGTGGAGACTGTT